AAAGGTGCTCTACTGCTCCAGGTTCCGCACCGTATATACCCTGACAGAAATATGCGTAGCCTTTTAGAGATCCGGTTTGTATTCGGAAATTAAAGACGCGTTCATTTTGTGAAAATGAATTTTTATAGGGATGCTAGAAAATGAGTTTGAAGCTGATTACATGGTAAGCAAGAAGCTTGCACACAATCAATTTCCGCCCATTTTCCACAGTTTGGGATGGAATTTTCAGCAGCGTTGAAACGCGTTATCAATATGTTCTCTCGCGAAACTGGAAGCCAAATAATTGGTGACCCACTTCGTACACTTAGGAGTAGAATTAACGATAGGTGTAAAAATACGACTCACTTTTTATAAAAATCTTTGAAAACGGTTTCAAAACTGAATCATTCCACCTGTTTTCCACAGTTGCTTTGGAATTTGCTATATGAAAATAAGTTAGAAGCGATACTTGAAACCAAATAATGACTCACCCCCCATTGCAGCACGACTCAAATGAATATTTTTAGGGATCTTAGAAAATATGTCTGAAGTGTTCGCTCACAGGTTGCATAAAATCGTTTCCGCCAATTTTCAACAGTTGCTGGTGGAATTTCCAAATTCCAAAAAGTTCTTCTCTAGAGTTTTTGACAGCAAAAAATCGTTTTACTTAGAAGTTGATCCCACGAAAACTGTGAGCACACTCAAATTGATGTTCATGCATGATGTTGAGGTGGAAATCTCTCCAACAACTCTTAACCCCACATTCCACCAAGGAGGGTTGGTTTCCCAGTACACAAAGTTATATATGTATATTGTAATGGAGGTATCTTTGTAACGCAAGCCTGGCATAATTAGTGTTTGTTCTGAGTATAAATCAAGGTCTTATTGTCGATAACATTGACGCGGCATGAACAAGAATAGTTAATAATTTGATCGGATTGTTGAAAGTACATATTTTATTACATCTGAGCACTATGTATTATACATGGCATTGTCGCCCTGTTTACCCCATCATCGCCCTGTCTTCTCGGAATCGCAGTGCATATCAGATCAGAAGCCAGACCGTGCAAAAGTCTCAATCAGTTTTGTTGCGTTGCGCAAATATTTGCAAAATTTCTGTATAAATATATTTATGGTATATACATATTTTTTGTGGCTCGTTAAGTATGAGGCAAAGCCGATTATGCCGCACGTTGCGGCATGCCTACGACCAAAAGCCTGCTCTGCTTCGGCTTCAGCTCAGCGACTGCTTGACAAGCTTGTGGCAGCAGCAGCAGCATCAGCAGCAGCTGATTAATGAGCTGCAAATGATGTTGTGCGCCCGAGCGCAGCGCGTAAATCACAAACAATTGGGCAAAGGAGAGTGGAGGGGGCCAAGAGGAATGTGAGAGGGTGTTATGCTTGGGGCGCAGCATGCAACATGTGAGACAACAAAATTGTAAACATGTTGCTAATGGTGTTGTTGATGTTGATGCTGATGTTGATGTTGATGTTCATGTGGCATTGGCATTCTTGAAGTGCGCAGCCAACTTGGCATTCGATGCGTTTCACTTGTTGCGCCGCAGCTGTTGCACTTATCTCTCCATACGCTGTACACGACTTGTTAAACGGGCATATTGCCAGCCAGAAAATGTTCAAATGTACGTAGCTTGAGTAAGAAAGCAGCTGCGTTGAAAACAGTCGAACTAGCCATAGCTAGAGGCTTCGAATATAGTTTCTGCTTTACACGGCTGGAGAAAAATGCAAGAGCTAGATTCATAAAACTTGTAGGTATGCATATACATAATAAAAATCTAGTACTTTTTGAATGAATTCCTTTTTCTAAAACTTCCTGTTCAGGTTAGAGCCTTGCGCCTTGCTGTACACCTTATTTTCTATCCCATATTCATGCTCTGATTATTTTATGCAGATCGGGTTATAAACATCGAAGTTATTCAAGACTGCATTTCCTAGCCTCAGTTTGAGGGTCACAGTCGGACAGTTTGAAAGTCATTTCCCTTTCACACTTTAAACAGAGTATTGTGCAGTTGTGTCACAGTGCGTGGCAAACACTTTTACTTGTTGTTATTTATGCGGCCAAAGAGACAGCGCATCGCCTGACACTTTGTCTGCCACAACGCCCCAATTGCCACGCCCATGCTTGGAGGCGGCCAAAGTTTGAAATGCCTTGGCAATTGGCAGACGCAACGCGGACGAAACATTGGCTTAAAGGCGTTGCGTTATAAAAGCCGAAAAGTTTTTATGCAGCAGTTAACAGCTATACCGAAACTTGTACGTGGCCAAATAAAAAATGCAACACCCCAAGAGGGAGGGGGGAAGGGGTATAATGGGGCTGCCACTCAAATGGGATATACAATATGCTGCACGGCTCTAGACCCAGTTAAGAACTCGTGCAGTTAGTTGTCTGGCCATGAAAGCGGCTTATGGCTTAATAAGTACTTGCAGCTGCAACAAAGCCAAATGTTAGCTTATAAGTTGCCAAAAAAAATAATAGAAAAGAATGCTAACAAGCAGGAAAATGCTCGTATGCCAATGAGGGACGAGGAGCACGGGGTGCGGGAGGATGGTGGCTGTTACCTTTTGACATGGTTCGGTTTCCGTTTGCCACAGCTCACTGCAATCACAAATATTAATATTTTTGTTTGCCAAACAAATAAAAAGAACAAGAGGTTTTCTTTTCTTTTGAAAGGTCTTCAATGATAGCCAAAATTGTGACTTATATAAGAAGGCACAATAAGTGGGTAGGTAAAAGTCAAGGGTCGAGAAACCTCTCGACTTGCTCAGCACTCGAGAACACAGTTGCCTCAAAAGATAATTTATCAATACAAATGGAGAACAAATGCCAACTAAGTATATTAGACCCTCTTTTAAGGAGGGTCCTAAAAGGAACCTTACACAATGCCGTGACTAAGAAGCTCGACTCAAATGTTGAAGATGGCGTATTGAAAGACCTTATAGAGTTGCGAAGATATAGATATAGATATAGATATAGATATAGATATAGATATAGATATAGATATAGATATAGATATAGATATAGATATAGATATATATAGATATAGATATAGATATAGATATAGATATAGATATAGATATAGATATAGATATAGATATAGATATAGATATAGATATAGATATAGATATAGATATAGATATAGATATAGATATAGATATAGATATAGATATAGATATAGATATAGATATAGATATAGATATAGATATAGATATAGATATAGATATAGAATAGATATAGATATAGATATAGATATAGATAGATATAGATATAGATATAGATATAGATATAGATATAGATAGATATAGATATAGATATAGATATAGATATAGATATAGATATAGATATAGATATAGATATAGATATAGATATAGATAGATATAGATATAGATATAGATATAGATATAGATATAGATATAGATATAGATATAGATATAGATATAGATATAGATATAGATATAGATATAGATATAGATATAGATATAGTAGCGTGTGTTGTCAGACTTAGATGCCAAATTGATCTAGAGGGAGTGGGAAATACGGCTAAATCAGTTTAAAATTTATACATGAATTTAGCGATTTTTCCACACATGCGGAATTAATTATTAAATATTATAATTATAGTTAAAATGCCCTTAAGCTGAGGTCAATGAAGCCCCTTCTTCAAATAATAAATTAGAATCGGTTTCTTTGATTGAAACAAATTTGTTTTTACGTTTTAAATGATACTCTATATACTTTATAGTCTCAGTTCAGCTCAGTCTGTATATTTTAATGTTATTTCAAGTTTTTAGCCAGAAGCTTAGAATGGGGCCTAGACTATTTATTTATTTATATTTTTAATATTGTTTTAATTATTATTATTATTTGGCATTATTATTGTTATTATTTTTAATAATATTGCTATAGCATGTCGCATATTTTGAAAGGGTAAACCATAGTCGTTAACTGGCATTTTACGCGCTTAGGTTGAGTTCTGCTAAACGTGAAAGTTGTAAGAAATTCTCTCTGGGGGGGAATTTTATTAATTGTAGGCTTATAAGCGGGAGCTCTGCTTTATGATTAATGAAGCTGCAAATGAATTCTCAAAAATCGGGCTGCCATATAAATTAGGTATTCTCGGCCAGAAGAGCTGCAAATGCTTGAAGATGCCGCCGCGCCAAACTCTGCTGCTTTGCGTTGTCAGCTCTTGCCTGATGGCAACAGTTACAGGTGAATTTGGCTGACGAAATGAGTTGAGGAATATGAACTGAAACATTTTGTGCTCAATTTTAGGCAGACAGCTGAAGCACATTCATGAGCTGCAGCAGCAGCAGCAGGAGCAGCAGGAAGCTGGACGCTCTGTAAGAAGCGGACTCGCTGCACTCTCCGGCTATGCGCTGGGCCTAAGCCAGGCGTTGATGGGCGTATTTGTCTACGATGTGATAACAGCGAATGTGAGCGAAAGTGAAACGGACAATGCCGGAGAGCAACAACAACGACAACAACAACAACAGGTGTGCATCGGCGGACGCAGCTACGATCATAAAGAACCATATGGGAATGAGGTCTACAATGAGGCGGATCGCCAACTAGATATAGTCACAGATACAGATACAGATACAGATACATTTGCATATACAGATACAGATACATTTGCAGATACAGTTACAGCTACATCTGCTGACACAGATACAGATAGCCCAATGGCTGCTGATGACACAACCAGCGCTGCGCATTTAAATATATTAAATTGTTTTGTTTTCTAGATAAAGTTTGAAGCTGAGCTTTGATTTTTGTGCCCAGAACCGGTTACAGCTGGCCGTTGGCCCATTTGTGGTCGCGGCTCAGTCAAGGGTCAAGCGAGTGTAAAACGTTTTTGTCTCAAATTTTGCATATGCAAAACGGGCGGCTGTTCGTCGACTTTCTTTGTGGGTTCTTGGCAATAAAAGTTGCGCAGCACCTGCCGATTGGTTTCAGTTAACACGCGCGCGGTTCGCGGTCAACAGCTTCTTTCTGCGTCTGAGCCATGAAAACGCCAACAGCACTCTGGGCCATTGCCCTAATCGGTCTGAGTTCATTGCTGACAACAGTTGCTGGTGAGTGGATTTGAGGAGTTGCCATCAATTTGGCATTAGTAAGGTATTAAACATTGCCTTACGCGGGCATCAGCTGGATACTAACCTGTCTTTAAACAAACCCAACTTTAAGCCTGACGTTCAGTATGGTTTTACATCTGGCTTTGATCAGGATTTCAATAAGAACATGACAAGAACATTAAGGCTTTAAGTCCGACTCTAAGTGCTGCCACCCACATGGATTATAACTTAGCTTTAATGTGGTATTAATTCCGACTTTAAACTTGGTCTTAAGCCTGACTGTTACCAGGCCCTTAACTCGACTTTAAGCTTGGCTTTGTGCCTGGCTTTTAACAGGCCTCTGACTTTAATTAAAGTCTGACTATTAGTTAGGCTTTGAACCTAGCTTTAAGTCTGACTTTAAGCTCTGCCTTTAACCAGAGGCTTAACATGAATTAAAGCTGATAACTTGACTTTTTACTAGGCTTTAAGTCTGATTTTAAACTCTGCATTAAGATTGTCTTTAACCTGGCTTTAAGCCTAACTTTAGTCAGTTCTGACTTGTTCTTTTACCGTAGTTTACACTTAACCTTAAACCTCTTAATAGGCCTGGCTTTAATCGGCCTTTCAACCTTATTTTGTACTCGGCTTTTAACCTTGCTTCTGTAACCCTTTCAGCGGGTCGCCTGACGTTGCGTCCGCTGTCGCCGCAGGAGTTGCGTCGCGCCTTGACTGAGGCGGGCCTCCCGGACGCTGAGCTGGCGCCCATGGGCCGTGCCACGCCCTCAGCTTTTGCAGGTCTCGGCGGCTATGCCTTGGGCCTGGCCAACGGCCTGGGCGGCGCCCTGATTTTCGATCTGCTGACCTCCAACGAGACAGCGGCCTATGTGACCAATCTGATCAACTCCCTAAACACCACAACAACGAATACTGGCAGCGGCAACGGGGGAACCACGCAGGAAGTCTGCTTCGCCAGTCGCAGCCTGGACGGAGACCAGCAGCAGCTGGGGCGAAGCTCCGATCAATACGAGGATATCAACGATGATGTCTTCGATTATGAGGATGACGATGCTGATGACTTCAGCTCGGCGGCGGAGCGCCAGGTGGACGACTATATCAGCTCCGATTATGCGGACGCGGGCGGCAACGGACTCACGTGCATCGTGGTGAACAGAGGTCGCGCCGTTCTGCGGCATAGACGCAGCGCAGGCTACGCGGAAAACAGCAGGACGCCGGTATAAACGTCCTCGTCTATGTTGTCAGAATAAATTTTAATCGATATTTATTAATTTAGGGCTTTAGTCCATTAAAGTTTAAATTAAACACGAACTAGGCGTGGCACGTGCCATGATGATCGCATGACATGTGCATTTCGAGTGTGGTCTTAAATAATAAAACGGACAATGGGGCAGGCCTAAAAGCCTTTCAAAGTTAGCCAACTACACTGACAGAAAAGTGCAAGGGATTTGTAAAGAAAGGGTTGCCAAAAGCCGGCCTAGCTGCGAGCATCCTAACGAAGCTTTTATTTCAAGCACTTTTGCCCAAGCGAAACTCCCAAACAAAAGACTTAAATGCAGCACTTAATTCCAGAAATTGTTGTGCTGGCTTTGCAAATGTTTTAGGCTTTTTTTAAGCATGCAAACGCTTGTTTAAATTATTTTTTTCATATCCTATATTCCCAAGTATATTTTCTACTTTATTTAAGCAAAGTCACTTGAAATTCAATAAGAAACGGAAATTGAATTTTACACCCAGGCATAAAAGTAGTTTGTATGTTATGTTTTTCGCTCAGTGCACATATCTATAGCTTGATTGAATTTCTCGCTTGGCTGATTTCATCAAAACGAGCCCAAAAGCCAGTGGGGCGACTGCAGAGGGGCAGCGGGGGTGTTGGGGTTGCGGCGGGTGTTTGTGGGTGCCAATGTAAAAGGTTTTAGTCAATGCATATGTCACCATTTGCAGTGTCATGCCTAGACACACTTCCACACACACACGCACACATAGCTATATATAAATTAATGCAAACAGCCACGCATACCCCTTGGCTGGCCACACACTCACGCACACACACGCACACACGGAAGCATGGAGCAACAAACAGACGGCTTATGTAAACATTGAAATGTCATTGCCGGCACAGTTCAATGGCCGTGCCCATAAATCCTGGCCGCAATTTATTAACTTTAACACTGGGCAATGTCAACGCAGTTCCTGGACAACGCACGCACACATCCTTGCCGCACATCCTGCGGCATCCCATTTTGATTTGCCATTGATTTTGATGAGAAATTTATGTGGCCAAAGGACCCCCAAATACTGTTCCCACCAGCAACAGCTACTGCTGCCGGAAAACATGACATTAGGCCCACAATATTAACCCAATATTTGGGCTTAGGCTTTTCTTTTTCTTGGGCCAACTGCAGGTGCTGAGGTCTGATGGCCAAATGGCTATTGCATTAGCTGTCATTAATTATTTATGCTAATGCGTTAAAAGCTATTTTCTACTGGCTTGCAGTCGAGTTGATTTCATTAAAGAAGTTTTGTAGTTGAAAAGCACAATTTAGATGCAGACTCAATAGGGAGAGAGTAGGAAATAAATATAGGAAACAATAACTTTGCTGAGAGAGAGAGAGGGAAAGAGAGGGAGAGAGAGAGAGAGAGAGAGAGAGAGAGAGAGAGAGGGAGAGTGAGAGACACAGAGAATAGAGCGAAGATATGGATATATCGAAAATATGTGAATTATAGAAAGAGAGTCATAGACGGAAAGAAAGCGACAGAGAGAACGGAGAGAGAGAGAGACAGAGAGAGAGAGAGAGAGAGAAGTAGAGGGTTATGGAAAGGAGGAATGAAAGGATAGATATCGCTTAGAGACTCAGAAGGACTAACAAAGACGGAGAGAGAGAGAGTGAGATGGAGAGAAAGAGACGCATGGGGAAAGAAGTAGCATGGAATATAGATCTATGAAAGGCAGATAGAGTCATCTGTTCAACGTAATGGAAGTAAAGACAAAATAGCCAGAAATGTAGATACTTCGAGGGGCAGAGAGAGAGAAAAGGGGTTAGAGAGACACATGTTAATGCATTAAAAGAGATAAGTTGCAGAAGAGAGCAAGAGCTAAATAGATAGAATGTAAATAGAGAAAAAGAGAGTGAGAGAAACAAATATGATTACATTTATCGAATATCAAATATATAGATATTATAATGATAAGCCCCATACTATAAACATGGCATAAAGATGGAACCGTTTTCTTGGTGGAGCCACAAAATAAATCTTTGAATGCTTAAGCTTAAGAATCAAATCAAAAAGCAATTAAAGCTGACTGAAACTGTGTTCACTACCAACACACATGCACACACAAGCACACACATACACACTCCCACACAGACACACACACACATGCATAGAAATTAGCTGCTAAGTATTTCACATGCGATATTCATGTGCTGAAAGCAGCGAAAACAACATTTGGAGTCGCAACCGGAGCCAAAGGAGCCACAATTCGAATCCTGGCGACAGGACTCGCCCTCTCTCTCTCTACCTCTCTCACGCTCTCTTTCTCGCCCACATTCTCTTGCCCACTTTGGCAATGTGGCACTAAATGCGCTAAATTACAAACTAAATGCCGCAAGTGCCGCCTCTGGGCATGGTCAGGATTACACAAATGAACGCCTTAGGCCGGAAGCAGGATGCGGCGCTGGAGCGAGAGGCGTGGCCGGGCACGCCGAAATTGCGGCCCAAAACTGTCGACAGCCGATGACATTTGAGCGATAAGAAAAACTGTTGTGTGGCTTTAGTAAAAGCTAGTCGAGGGTTTTGCAAATCGCTGGTTGGGGTCGGGATTGGGGTTGGGGCTGGTTGTGGGGTTGGCTCGGGGTTGAGCAGCAGAAGCCAAAGGCAAATGTTGTTGCTGCTTGTATTAAGTATGCAGGCGTGTTGAAGTATCACGCACACAAACACACACACACACACACACATACGCAAATGAATAGGAAATGTTGTTGGTGTTGTTGTTGTTGTTTGCGGCACTGAAATGTTTACAGTTATTTTTACAGCATTGAAAATTGTTTTAAATGTTAATGTCGCATGTTGTTGCTGCCTGCTGCCACTTGCCACAATAAAATGGGGCGTGTGCCGCCCGCCCACTTGGCCAACGCACGCACTTGCAGCGGCAGGCTCTTGTGTTGCGTGCCGCAAAATCCCAGAACAAACAAATAATTGAGACGCCTGTGCACACACACGCACACACACACACACACGCACTTGTGTGCACTCGTGTTAAATTATGCGGGCTTTGGGTTTTATTGCATTTGCCGCTCATTTCTTGAGCTTTGTTTTGCTTTCTTTTTCTCTTCTTTTGCCTTGCCTGCTTTTGTTTTGTTGCTTTGCTTTTGTTTTAAGGGCCTCATGCCACCTGGCCAAGCGGCAGGTGCGCTGCGAGAATCATCTGTTAAGTCGCCAAGTCCAAATGTGCCGCACACACACACACACACGCACACACACACACACGAACAAACACACATATCTCATGCATCGTTGCCCCCCGACGAGCACTTGAGGCGCGTTGTGCGGGTTGATAAAGGGGGGAGGGCAAGGGGGCTAACAGCTGCTGTTTGGCATTTCAATTAATGGCACTTGCGATGGCGAAAAAAAATAAACCTAAGAGCAGCTCCAGTCTTGAATGTGCTCGACTGCTTGTTACCCTGCAGATGGAGCCGAAATTCCAAGAGATAATTTCACACTTATTTAAATATCCTACAAAAATAAAAGAATCGCGTACTTACCCAGCAATATAATAGGAAAAATTCATTCCTGTTTTAAACATTATCCAAACGTATTCAAATGTTCAATTATTTTCCAAAGCTGTAAGTATACGAAATATGGAAATCAATTTGTATCAAATGGTTTTCTTTGGGCTCAATAAGTGATATATAATTGATCTAAGTGTGATTCACGGTAATCATGACTTGCTTTTACAATCCATTTGCCCAGAAGGCGGAATGGAATATTTATCGATAATTATCGGTTGTCGAATAAGGAGCTGACTATCGAAAATTGAAAGAAACTTGATCTCCATATGTTTAACAATAATTAAAATAATATGTTTAAGCTGTGAGATATGATTAAATACTTTAAACGGCATTTATCGATATTTATCGATTTCGAGAATCTTTAAAATACTTTAAAATTAATTAGGAATGCACTTCGAGAACTGATAAGTCCTGACATCGACACACGAACGGTTAGAATAATATTTGCTAGATCGACTCAGACCCTATATAGATCCCATATCATCTATGAGCTGGCAGATACTCTGCCTATTGCACCTGCTAAACTGCAAAATGCCTTTTTACTTGCAAACACTTTCACTGGGTAAACAGTATGAAAAAAAAAAAGTGGAAATATGCCCGAACAACCCTTCATGACCCTTCATAGGCATAAGGGTCATCACTTTCGCTTTCGACAGACGATTTACTGCGCGGGTGGAGTAGGTGGGTGGGAGGCGGGAGTCGGGTTGGACTGGCGGTAGGGTTGCTGCACTCTAATGAAGCCATCGCAGGGCAAAGCCCAAAGCAACCCTCAGCTGCGGTGCTACGCTTTGGCCAGTGTCAACAACGTCGCGCGATATCATTGCAATTCGTGCGACACGTGACCGCAAGAAATCCGGCTGAGTGTTGGATATTGCTCGATGACGGGCAGGGGGGGAGGGAGCACTTCGTGTGGAGAGGGTATGCTGGGCTCTTAATAGATTTTTGATTTGTTTTGTGCCCGTCGCAATCCAATTGTGCGCGCGGCGCGTGCGACGCTGATTCGAATAATGATTTGCCAAATGCTGCAAATTTATGCGACTTCCTTGTCTATATATTTATATATATATGTATCAATACGTTAACGGTACACGCTATCGATATCGTGTTAAAGCAGCCGAATAATTCAATAAGGGAATCACGCAAACCGACAAAAACAAACAGACTGAAGACAGCAGGAGGTGCACTCGAAGAAAAAACCCAGTTCGAAGACTAGAACATCTGCTGACTTTCAATGTTCTTCGAACAAGGCTTCACTTTACAATTGTTCGCTTGAAATAAGAACGAATTGCTTGTAATAAGTAATATTTGCACTTGTTTCTTCTTCTTAAATGAGGTATGAATTTGTCCTAAATTCTAAATTGGTTGCTTAAAATGAGAAAAACGAAAACTTAATTCAAGTATTCTCAACGTTTTTGGCTTGAACATTTCTAGTATATATCGAATTTAGTTATTCTACAGGGAATATAATCTTCAATTAAGCAAAAAATACTTAAACGAAGTCTTAAAGTATTTAAGACAAGCGCAAAGCATGCTTGATATTTGAGCCTTGTTTTGTAGGAGTTTGGGCTTAAATGAATAATTCTTCGTGCTTAGCTTAAGCTGTTGTCCGCTTTGACTTAGATAACAATTATATTAGCTTTGAGCCGCTCTTTTCGCTCAGTGCACTGAGACAGAGCCGTGTCTTAGGCAGTTTTCTAGCCGCTGGCCAAGATTAAAAGCAGCTGAAACTTTGTTACGCTGTCTGCTCGACCTCGTCGTGTTGTTATTGTTGTCTTCGGTTGCTTTTTTACAAATTGTTTCAATTAAAAAGTTTACTGCCTCCGCTTTGCCGCTGACTGTAATTCTTTTTTGGCCTGGCTGCGTGTAAGCGGCTTTGGGCAACGCTTTGGCATACGATTGACACGTGCCCGACGCCAACAAAAAATTGAGCGCTAATTGCGGCTATAACAAGTACACTGGACAGCAGGGTCTAGCTTTTAGTCTAAGTCCGTGTCCAGGCAAAACTTGTTACATTTGCTTTGGCCTTGGTATTGGCTTTAATCTGCGGCCTTGGCAGCGTATTTATAAGCTTAATATAAGTAAGATTTATTCGGGATAGTGTGTTCGACTGGCAGATACCCTGTAGCTAGCTGCAAGCTGTTGCTATTAACACATATTTCTTTTACGTTCTTTGGCTAATGCACTCTTAAGTGTAAAAGAAAGGATAACATTCATATATGTAAGACGAAGTAAGAGGCTCTAGGCGGGAGTGCTGGACTAGGGGCTACCCTGAACACTCTTCTATGCGTTGGCTATAAAATGAAATATACTTGATAAGCTACTATTCAAGTTTGAAGAGTCTAGCTCTTAAGACCTAAGAGATTCGATAAAAACACACGATTTCGAAAACGATTTTTATCGATTGCTTTCACATGCGGCAAGCTATCGATTATCGAAAACAAACTCGTACTGCGCAGGCACTAGGAGGACCTACGTTCAAATTTTCAAAGCTGTATTTCTTATGGGCTATGAGATCCTCGCGCGTATACATACGGATGGACAGCCAGACGGGCTTGACTAGATCGTCTCGGCTATTGATGCTGTTCAAGAATATATATATATATGCATTTGCTCAAATCTAAGATACCCTTAGAACAAGTAAGTTAGGCAGACAGACATGTCTACATGTTGATTAAGATTTTGATAAAGAACAAGAGTTTATATAATTAAGGAGTCGCAGATGCTTCCTTCGTGCAGCAATTTACGCTTTTTAAGCATTTGAAATAAGTACAGGGTATATAAAACACAATTGCATAATAGACAACACACACACACACACATACACCTTATCAGGCGGCTAATTGAGAATTGAAATTGTTTGGGCAAATTAATTAAATATTGTTGGTGGAATGAAAAAAAAATAAAAACTAAAGAGCGCACAAAAAAGTTGCAGTCTTATCGCCGCATCGTTCAAATATTTCGTGGCGCTAATTAATTTAATTGATTTAAGCATTTGTGTGCGTGTGTGTGTGTGTGTGTGGTCGACTATATCAGCTGTGAACTGAATTATCTGTTTGTTTGCTCAAATGAAATTGACTTGTAATTAAAAAGTTTTACAAATTGATTGAAAATCTTCCACCCTCCCCCCTGTGTGACCATTTGGCTGCAATGAGAACACAAACAAAAATTGAACAACAAAAAATAGTAGAAAAAAAATACAAATAAAATAAAATAATCGGAACTGCCCCGGCTAATTACAAGCATTTAATAAAACTGCATCTTTTTTTGCGGCACGAGTTTTGCTTTGCAGTTTGGGGGAAATTTTCTCTTAGGCAAAGCTTATGCTGCGGCTGTATAAGAGTTGCTGCTGCTATTGCTGCTGCTCTTACTCTTATACGCCGCTAACTGACCTAGGTCATGGCATAGTTGCTTAGTTAACATTTTACAGCGCTGCCTAATTGAGGCGGTCAGTTTTTGGACTAGCTGTTAATAAGTACAGTTAGCTGAAGGTGAAGAGAACTTATAAATTATGCCCGAACTAAAGCGTTTAATTAATCTAAAGACTGGCAGCTAAAAAGGAAAATAGTTTTTTTTTCTGAGAAATTTAAATGCATTAAAATTAAAAATATTTAAAATTAAATACCTTACATCAATTTACCGCTTTAGCTCAGACATCATTTATTAATTCTCTTCAGCTTTCATTCATTGCATTGGATTTATTTGATTACTTATAAGCTCTATCATGATAATATACGAATTTATGGGTTTAAGGTTTTATTTATTAATGAGCTGTAAGATTCTAGACAGAACTGTTAATAAAGTTAACATTGCAGACCATGGTTAACATGCAGTTTACATGAATTGATAACTTTTTACCAATTTTATTCTCCATCGAATAAATGTTTATAAATTATTAAGCACTTGGAACATGCTAGCTGTGCGGGAAATAAAACCGACAACAACAAGCGCATAAACATATCAACAAATTAAACAACAACAACAACAGCTGCGGCAAGATGCAGCAAAAAACAACATCAACAACAACAACAGCAGCAGAATGTAAGAGCACAAGCACTCAGAGAGTGCTCCAAAAGTACGTCTGCAATTTCGTGCACCAATAATTTTGCCAGCAGCAGCAACAACAACAACAACAACAGCAGCAGCAGAAGAAGCAAAGAGAAAGTTTGTCGGCGCTCTTTTGCGTTCGCTAGCTCGTATTTGCTGCTGCTGCGAGCCGAAGGCGTCGCTGCTTCGTGTCTTCGTACTTGTTCGTGCTGGATGCACACGATTGGCAAGCTGGCTGGCGACATCGCGCCGTTAGTTCAATCCTGCGACTCGAGTGCGAAGCACGCGTATATTGTGTGTGCGTTTAACTATTGTGCGTGCGTCGTTTGCTGAGCAAGTGTTGCCAAATGCGCACAGTAGCTGAACAGTGTTGCGAGCTTAAGTCTAATGGGCTGCTGGGCCAAACGGTGCGTGTTAATGGCCAGTTAATGATATGTGATTAGGCTGCAATAAACACATGCATAATTCAGAGCAAAGCGAAGTGAAAGTTGTCCAAGAAGAACAACAACAAATCGCTGGCATTCCATCAAGCGTTATACGCAACAGTCGTATGTACAGAGGAAGGGCGATTGCTTGCCAAACCAAAAACATTTTCGCCCTGGCCACACCCACCCGCCGCTGAGCGTGGGCTCAAGTCAAGTGAAAGTGCTAAGCCGCCAGCAACAAGATAAATTACTTGGCGCCTACTTTGTTATCTAAAACCAAAACCGAGTTGCAAAAAAAAAAAAGTACGAAAGAAAAAACACAAAATAAAAGCTAACAATTGTCAGTGCGTCTGTGTGTGTGCGCGTATTTGCGTGTGTGTGTGTGTGACACAGTGTTGTAAGTGTTGCATACTTTGAGGGGCGGCGCACATGGCGTATGATTTATGCTGCTCTTGTTGTTGCGGCCAGCAAAACAACAACAAATTACATTGAAAGCAAAACAAGCAAATTGAATTTACAGCAATTTTGGCTAAAACAAAAACGAATCAAACAAAATACAAACAAAAGTTTTGCAAAAGTGCTCGAAACGCCTGAAAGAAAAAAAAAACAAAATAAAAAGCACAAATAGACTAAAAAGAGATTTTATATATATATGGAGACAATTTACAAAAAGATAGCGACTCATTTTGTTATTGGTCCCGTGCGAGCGCTTAACTCAAAGCCCACTGCTGCTGGCCTGGCCTAAACCGTTGTTGGCCCGGCCCGTGTAATTTGGACGCAAAGCGTTAACAAGTCAGCCAAAAGACCGCGCCAACTACAACTGACAGCGATCATAACAATACAAAATAGTCATAAAAAACAAAAAAAACAGCAGAAAGCAAAAAAAAAACGACATCGGGGATAACAAGGCCAAGCACAATGTCGGCCTGGTCCGTAGCCAATTTCGGATTACTCAACTGGCTGTTGCTGTTGCTGCCGCTGCTGCAAGGTGAGTGTGGCGCCAGGCTGCCTTTTGTCCGCCCACTTTCTGGTTTTAATTAAATAATCCAATTTATTCTCATTTAATTTCGAATTAAATTTAATTTGTGTGCGGCCCCCCCCGTCACGCCGTCCGCACTGACAGTCCGCCCGCCGTCAGCTCTAATTGCTGTCGGAGCGCGCTTTTTGTTTTTGGTCGCTTTGAATTTCTTCGCCAATTTTAGGGCTGCGGGCTTTGTTGCAGAATTGAAATTCTTTAAATTTTGCCACGCGCGGAATTTCAATTTCGTGACAAAAGTTGTCATTGTCATGCGCTGCTACACCCACGCACATTTTTCGATGACTGTGTCAATCGCAATTCGCGAGCTAATTGCGCTTGAATTGTTTAAGGCCTCGCTCGCCTCACCAAAGAGTTGCTGCTCTACAGCGACCTGTGACCTGACGTTTGCTCATTTCTCGCATGGCAAGGTCGTTCGCTTAGCACGTCCGTGCGCCACCCAAACGCAGCCCACTCGAGTGTTTCTGGTCCAGCCAAACGGCAGCTAAACACTTGTAGCCCCAAGCCCTTCAGCCCCCCAACCTCACCCCTCTGCCTGCTCTAAACCATCTGCATATGCTCATGTGTGCGTGTTTGTTGTTTGTTGTCTGGCTCGCCAACTTTTTATACACACTCGCACACACACACACACACACACACACATACTCGGAACTAACTGAAAACTCGTACTTTCCGCAACACTGGCATTCAAAATTTCATTTTCAATTCCTGCGTCGCACAGGCTTTTAAAATATATGTGTCTAAAAACGCGAGTGTTGGAAAAAAATAACACACACACACACAGCAAGTTCACACACGATGACAAACTAACGAGCTGCAGGCACTCGCTGCCTTCCTAGCCGCAGTTGTTGTTGCATTTGTTGTTCTATGCCCCTGCCCATGGACCGCAAAAAGGGTATATTAAGGTTTTGTCGAATTGCAACTTCTAACAGCATATGAAAAATGGAAAACTTGTCAGAGTTAAGGCTTTGTCCAGTGTGGGAGCTAAAAAACTTAGCTTCATTACGAAATGACAAAAAACAAAGGGCACAAATAAATAAGAAATGGAAAATTGAAGTGCTCTGCTTCTAGTTAAGTTTAATTTTTATTAAAAAATGTGAATATATAAATAAAATAAATGAAAATCAAGAGTCATAGCATAGTAACAAATAAAGTTAATGTTGATAATGTTCCAAAAAGCAGAAGCTCAATTCAGGCCCATTTTTGTAAGCTCACATTTTACAGTTCAATTTTGTGTGGCTTGTCAAAAAGTTATATGAAAAAGTGTTGAAAATAACAGAATCTGTTAAAATAAGGCTCTAAAAACTAAAAGAAAAAAAAACTGCATAAGCAAAAGAAAACTTTTTGTCAGATGTAAGCATAAAATCGAATTGCCATAAAAATAGTCGAGTTCTTGTTGCAGTCGAAAAGTGTAGCATACTTTTGAGCTGGTTTTGTTTTGTGCCCAGCCAGTTGACAATGAGCTTATGTTAGGGCATACAAAAAATGTGCACATGTATGCTTTGAAACCAAAAAAACATATATATATATATATACATATATATTTTGTATGGCAAGGGCTTGTTATTGTTGTTCAGGGTCGTCTTGTTGTTGTTGTGGCTGCAGTTGACACATGGATTTGTTGCAAATGTCAGTGTTTGTGTGTGTGTGCTGCAACCGCAGATGGACTCATTCATTCAGTTGCAGTGCCTAAAAGCCGATCACTTCAGTTACACACACGCACACGCACACGCACACCTCAACACACACACACGCACACGCACACACCTACACACACACAGAGAGGCTGCCGCCACGGGACGTCCACGCCTAAACGCGTTTCATCATCAACATCAGCGTCATTTTTATTATTTTCATTTTCATTTTCATTTACATTTTCATTTCGATGCCCGGCCATTCCCGTTTGTCTTCGACTGCGGCTGGCAATTGTGTTCCGCCTGCTTTGTAATTTCCAAATGAAATGCTTTCCAAATGCAATTTGCCGCTGCAAATTGTTGCAACGTTTGCCGTTTGCCGTTTGCCTGCCACCTGCCCCACCTCCCCCTCCACCTTTCTGTCCATCTATCTATCACAGACACACACACACACACACTCTGTGTGTCTGCATTTCATTTTGCTAAAAGCTACTTGTCGTTGCGCAATAAAAGGCAAACAGAAATTACTCTGTAGCTTAAGTCGTTCGTAATTGGAAAATACTCAAAAGCCCCGCAACTGCGAGCATAAGTAAAGGACGAACAATGAAATAATAAATATATGTGAATAGAAAAATAACAACAAATACTCTTGTGGTGGTTGCTCGCAAAATATTATTTCAATACTATTTGTTTTCATTAATTTGTGCGCATTGTTTTCGACATATTTTATTTAAATGTACATGCTTGAAAACTTGCTTGTTTTTATTTGTTTTAGTTGGCTTATTAAAAAAAACAAAAAGTTTTCCTTTTTCTCTCTCGCTCGTTGGTGAAGATATCTTAAAAAGTAGCTAAAGATATTTCTTTATGAAAATCATATTTTTTATACGATTTATTAGACTTATGCCCAAAATAAAAAAGTATATTTTATAAAATATATATATATTGTATTAAAATAAATTTTAGCTTAGCTGGCTTCAGGTTTGGGTTTTATTAAAAGTAAAAATATATTTAATAACAAACTTGGTTAAAAGGCTTTTCAAGCCAGCTTTGTAAACTGTTTCTGCCACGAGCTTAACCCTGAAATTAAAATATATTTTATCATGAACTGATCCCTAAGCTGGTTAAGTTAATAAACAAATGATGCTTGTTTCCGATTTCATAGCTTTGAAAAACCTGTTTATTGCACCAAACTTTAGTTCGAGGCATTGGTTCGAAGCGCGATATGAACTTGGTTTCAGCTTTAGGCAATATACTATATACTATGTGAAGTTCTATATACTATCTATGTACTGAATACTATACACTGTATACTAAACTGTATGCTATATCCTGTTAAAGTTGCTTCTAAGTCTGTCTATCTAACTAAATCGGTATAGACAAATCTGTTGGTTTTGGGTAAGGCAGCCAGTTGTCCAGGCGATTTCATGTGCTGTGACAGTTTTTGGATTGACTGACAAAGCAAACAGCACCAGCTAAATTAACGGAGGCACGCTAAAATAAACTGCAAATACATGCGATATAGTATATGCGATATATATATATATATATATATATACGGTCCGCTTCAAGTTTTAATTTGCAGCAGCTGAAGGTAAACAGGAAATGTTGCTGCTGTCATCAAGGTTCCAGTTGCAGTTGCCATTTTCATTTGGCGTTGACGTGAACGCATGTTGAATAAGTCAGAATGGCGTTTCACAAATGCAGGCATGTGTGTGTGTGCGAGTGTGTGTGTGTGTGTGTGTGTGTGTCCAGCGACTTGTGTGAAAATAAGTCGCAAAGTGCAATTTCAAAGGCAGTGCCACATGGCCACGGCGTGCAGCTGCCTGCCACAGTGTACAAATACAACTAGTGGGGCACACACACACACACACACTCGGCCACACTCAAACACAAATTTGGTAGCTGTGGCAAACACGAAATAGCAGAAAGTCTGGCCCTGAAAAGTGCGCAAACATTTGCAGCGCTGTGAAAGCCGTGCAACGGCCGAGTTGACATTTAACATTTTGCAACAACTTTGCCAAACGGAAAATACACTGCGCGAAAAATGCGGCAACATTGATGCCATAGCATTTTGTATATCAATAAATTTAATTCAATAATGAATTCATAAAATGTGCGCAATGCTTTTATTGTTTAACTTTGAATAGATGTGTAGCTGCGTGTGTGTGTGTGTGCGTGTGTGTGTGTGTGTGTAGTTGCACTTGCGGTTATTCCTTTGCATTTTTATGTGTTTATTTAGTGCGCAAAATATGCGACGGATGCGGTAAATGTAAATTGCAGTTATTTGCGCAGCTGTTCGCCATTTAACGCAAACAAATTGTTTACTCTCACATAATTGTTGTTGTTGTTGTAGTCACTATTCTTATACCCTGTAACTAATGCAGATGGGTGGCAAGTGTACAGGCAAGCAAGTTCCAAGCATATATATATATTATGGATCAGATCAAAGAGCTGAGTCTATTTGGACATATTCATCTTTGTCTGTTTTTCTGCATTTAGAAGTTTTTCTCGGAAAATAAGGCAAAGCCAGAGCCATATAATCTTGTATATGAAATTTCTCACATCGTTATCCTTACTTTCCCTACCTCCCATACAGATATATTTTCTATAGTTTAAATCTTTCCAAACGTTGTCTTATAATATAATATAATTTATATATAATAAAAAAAAAACCTTTGGCTATATTATGTGATGATGGGCGCAGGGTATCTCTCGGTCGTGCACACCCGCTCAAAATACTCTTACTTTACTACTCGCTTTTGTTGTTGTTGCAGTCACTATTGTTGCTGTTCTTGCTGTCATTGCATATTTATGGGCGAGCTCAACGTGTGCACGTTCAAATATTTTTTGCAAATATTTTTGCCACCGAAAAAAGCAAAAAAAAAACAACAACAATTTGCGTCCACTTGTCGTGATTTACATTCAAAGTCCATTTAATGCACACGAAATTCACTTTTGATTTCTGAATTAATAAAAATATCAAAATACAGCCGCAGTCGAAAGAAACCAAAATAAAAAAACAAGTAAGAGGTTCTAGTCGGGAGCTCCCGACTAGGGGATACCCTGAACCCTCTTCTTCCAACATCAAATGCATATATATATTCTATTTTAGAAGCTAAATGTCAAGTTTGGTGAGTCTAGCTCTAATTATTTACCAAAATTGCCCAAAAAACAGGATATCGATATAGATTTTTATCGATTGCTTGGAACGGAGTAAGTTATCGATTATCGGAAACAAACTCAATCTGCGCGGGCACTAGGAGCATCTACATCTAAAATTTCAGTCTCTAGCTCTTATAGGTTCTGAGATCCTTGCGT